GAAATAAAATTTAAAAAATCAGTTAACTTTTTTTTTTTCCAGTGGCCCTAATCCTCTTCCGTACTTATATATTCATGCTGACAATTAAAAAGTTTGACATTAGATCCCCGCTTATAAGGTCACACACACAGCTGTATACACATAAATAAACTGATTTGCACATGGGAAGGAAACTTAGGGTCAAGTGTGACATGGACTGCTCTCTACTGTATAAATATAATGAATATATCACTCTGGTTGTCTACTTCAGCAGGAAGCCAGCATCAATGAGAGTATTAAATAAATTGTGTATATAGAGTGCACTCACCCTCCACCATGGGCTCCAGATGACCTGCTGTGCTCATAGTCCTCAGCGTGTAGATCAGCCCGATAAAAACCACACTGGAAGACCCCATCTTCCAACTTCCCACTGCTTTCTCTCAGCTCTGCCAGTCCGCCACCGTACGGCCCTTTCCCTAAATCCCACTGTCACTAGAAGATGTAGCACCTCTTCCCTTCCCCAACCCATGAAACCCTTACTCTAATGAACTGGGACCCCCCCCCCCCCCCCCGCCCCTAAAACACCAGTTTGAATGATGCTTCAGACAACAATGAGATTCCACACATGAATGGGGGAAACCGAGGGGAGTCCAAGGTAACATGGAGAAACCCGCCTTCTGCAGAGACGGCGTCTTAGTAAACACCTTACGAGAGTTTCTTACCACAGGGAGCAGCTATACATCTGGTAACCATGTCAAAAGACAAGGTTGGTCTTTGTTCCCTCTTTCTTTTGTCTGCCCACTTTAAAACATTTTACTGGTGCGGGAATCCCAGTCAGTAAGGACAAAAGGAACTCATTGCAGGTCAAGGGCAATTCACTGACCGCTTTGCATGTGTGTGGTTAAACAGCACCGTAAAATCCAGCTACTGCATGCAAATGCAAGAGATGGATCCTAATTTAAGACAGAAAACCTCCACTCTACATGTAATCTATCATACGGAGCATTAAACCCGTCCAAGTAATTTGCAAAGGGAAATTAGTTGTTTTAACTTACTGGAGCAATGAGGCAGAAACCCTCTCAGCTTTTTCAAAATATACGAGTTCTTTTCACCAGAGCTTTTCTCCAAAGCAGCAATATGAGCCATTTTTTATATATTTTTTGCAAATGAAAGATATACCTTTGGTCTAATTGCCAGTAATTGTTTTAACAGATTAGCAAGCATTAGTATGGATGTGGAACCTGTTTTCTGGGCGTAAGACTTAAACTTCCTTCAATATTCCACTTCAATGAAATCAGTCAGTAAAATAAATAATAGTGCAGGAAAAAAAAATATTTTCATTCACACGCTTTTATTTTCTGAAAGCTGTAACATCAATGGGAAGATTTCATTGTGGCGACACAGTAGGATTATACACTTGTTATAAAAATGAAAGGAACGCTTTTTAACCAAAGTGGAGTCAATTTCCAGAACATTTATCTGGTCAGGTAAGCAGAAGAGCCGTTGTTTGTGACCGTCAGCTGTAATGAAGGGGCAGCAATGAGATGGCCGCATCAGGCCACAGACATTTCTGGCTCCCTCCTTTTTTTACGGGCAGATTTTGGATTCTTCCAGGATCAGAGTCACTGTTGGTAACATGAGGTAAAACCTGGAGGTT